AATTAATTTCAAACAAACTGAAAAAAATACTCTGCTCATTCTCCAGCTCAGCCTTGAAGACTACGTTATATGATGGGGATGGTGCATGGACCCAGCTAGTAGGACTTCTCTCCTACACAAAGTGACTGGTTCACCTCATGACCTCTGATGGGCATAAAGCCAGATCCTCATCTAAGACAATTTCCCAGACTTCCTCTATAGTCACCCGGGGAGAAGTAACTTATCTATTTTAGATCCAGATTTGATGACGGGATATGTTGCCCTCTGAAGCTGACACCACCTCTTCTTTCTTTTGGTGAGAGTCTGGACAACCAGCTCAGAACAACTGTTAAAGGGTGGGAGCTGGGAGAAACTCAAATGATGGAACAAGAAACTCAGACACTTGTGTCTGCAAAGCACTCTGAACTCTCACTGAAGTTTTGCACAAACCATCACCCTTCAGGATTGTTTCCTAAACCTGAGAAGATACCAAACATAAAAAGACTGGGCTGAACCATGCACACCTATTTCTTGGGCGATTAAACCTTCTTTTTTGACCTGTCCTGTTACATATTTTTAAAAGAAAATTGTAAAAATTATGAAGGAAAATGCAAAAATATCCCAATATTGCGACATGCTTATAGATGTCATGTAAGACATTCCAAAAAATCCAAGATTTCTAGCTTTGCAGCCACCACTAAAATAAGGTCATGAGGCCAACAGTTTAATGCATGACATATACAGCAACATGAAGTACTATACCAGGAAAAATTAGGACCAGCTTCAGAGATATTTTTTGTACACACCACTGGCTGCGGGTTTACTCTGCCAGGAATATCAAACTATTTTTCCCTGTGACTGACCCTGCAGATGAGAGTTTTCAGTGTCTGTACACTGCATTGCTAGTTACAATTACTGGATTTTAGAAGGAGCTTCCAAGAACATAAAACTGATACCACAAAGAAAATATGAGAGATGAAAACACAACTGAGAGAGACTAATAAAACTTCAGTTTTTGTCTTCCTGACTGATTCACTTGCTGCCTTAGGCCATCCTTTCATGGTTAAAATGTAATTCACTGTAGAGAGATATCTACGTAGTGTTCACCTGATCATCTTAAAGTTGTTTTTTCACCACTGTAGTGTCTAAACCCTGTATAAGACCAACATCTAAAAATATTCCTATGCAGATCTTGAAGTTTTAGCTATTGCAGTTTAAGAAGAAATATTTGGCAATATTTTAGCAGCCTGCTTTATCAGTAAGTTTCAAATAGTTGGAAACTATCTGGTTTTAATATAGCATCTAGACACATCTCCACACTGAAAGCATTTTTGGTCCAAGCCAGATTAAGATTTTAAACAGCCTTAGGCAGGGAAAAATACCATGGGGAGGATATAGAGGCCATGGGAACATTCTGTAGTCTTAAACCACCCGTTCTCTATCCCACAATTTTTATGCAGAGAACACTTCTACAGCAACTGCTGAAAAATATCCAGAGCCAGTGAAAAAGAATGGAGAGTAAAATACTCATTTGACAGATGTTATACCATCTGGTTGTTGCAATACATGTTAATACCACTCCTTTAGGAAAACTTCCCAGAGTATCAGAGGCTTTACTCAGTCTCTTCTTCCTTCAGTGCTTCTGACTCAGTTTTAACAGGTACTACAGATTCTGGAAATATATATGTATGTAGGCTACCATCATCTTCTGTTTTGCACAATTTCATTCTTAAGAAGAAAATTGCAATGTTTCTTTTGTAAGAAATTAGCATCCCTACTTAATACCTGTGCTTTCACAGATCTGGAACACTGCATGTAGGCTGCTGTTTATTGTAATTAAAACTCTCCAGAAATAAAGACCACAACTAATTTTGTGTTCCATCAGGATTCCTATTTCTCATTCTATCTTTCTTTGGGAAGCAAATTCAATGCTATTCACCATAATTTTTTTTCCTGACTTTTATTTTTCAAAAGCAGGTAGTTCTGTTCTTAAGTCTCTTAACTGAAGTTCAGTCTGAATGACACCTTTCCTTCATTCATTCATTCATTCATTCATTCATTCATTCATTCATTCATTCTGTATTGTCATGATACACCTGCTCTCCTCAGATGTTACCCTGCTCATGTGTCCTCCCACTCCTACTCCCCATCACCAAGGGTTGGCTCTGACCCTTTATATCTGGATAAAAACATGGACTCCCATTTCTGACACTCCTATATATCATGTCAGGACTTCAGACAGATCATAGGAGGGTGGCACAGCACCACCCTTTGCTTTCTATTCACCAGATACCTTAATAAATGTGGGAAAGTTCAGATAAAAGGAGATCACCTGAACACTTTTGTCGTTTGCTGTGTTAAGTGCTGTTTTTCAACCAACTGTAATAGTCTCCTTCCTGCCACAACTGTGGCACTCATGTCCTGTAAGTTATTTCTTTCATATAGTTAGCATGGAATGATGCATTTCTCTGAAAAGAAATGGGAAGATGTGCATCATGTTTGCAGGAAAACTGCTAACTCTGCTGCTGATGGGGCAAGAAAATAGCGCATGTCTCAATTCTGGCACTAGGAAAGCTTACACATTGATTTTCTTTACAGTCCAGAAATTGTAAGAACATTTCTAAACACAGATTTGGGTCTAGGTTTGCAAAATTCATATTCTGAATTCAGAATACACTGTTCATATATGGACTATGGCTCATAAATACAGAGTAAATAAATGTAGTAAATACATGATACAGAAATACAGGTCATAAAGACAAAATTCATAGTTCCTATTCCCCCACACCAAGTTACTGTCTGCAATGCTTATTTGTACAGAACAATTCTGAAGAGGCCATGGCAAGGACCCTAGGACTCAAGATTCATGGTACTGCCTGGACACTGAATTCCCTCCATATTTGAGAGAGTCCTTTTGCTCAGGGAGTTGCTGATGCTCTCTCAGGGAGCTTCCCTCGGGACAAAGTTGCCAATAAATGTTGTGCTAGAACAAATGCTGTGTTTGTGAGTTTTTCTGCATCACTTTGTTGGGAATCATGGGCAGAGAGTGCCACAGCAGAACTGATGCTCTGGTGGGCTCTGGCTTTTCTGATGCTGTAAATAAGACTCTCCTACATGTCCATGCTACTGCCCTGGGGCAGTTGGAAAAATTTGTCACCTCTTAGTGCTGTGCACAACAGATGAACTGTCCTGTACAACAAATGGAGCACACAACCCTGGACAAGGTCTGCATGGCCTGGGGATCCATGCTCAAAAATGTCTTGCAGCATTGGTAGGTATGGGCTCTTATTCTATTCCATATCCTGCTGTTAGGGCTCTGTGGCTGCCTCAAGAAATGGAGTTGTCAGGATGTCATCAGCAGTTAGAAGTGCACCAGCAGTGACATTGTAATCTGGGATTGAAGAATTCAGAGAACCTGATAAACAGACCGGATCCAGGAAAAGCCAGGTAGTTAAAGCTGAGCCACACCAGCCCCCAACATCCAACTAAGATGTAGTGCTACCAGAAAAGAACCTCAGGAGAACCAATTGGAGATTTTTAATGAGAGATCCCACAGCACCTCTTTGCCATCCAGGCAATTTCTCAAAGTTAGCTTGCTGCCCAGCAGTAGCACAAAAACATGATAACACTAAGAGTATATGAAGGTTGCTAAACCCTTGAGTTTGTCATCCACTCCTACTCTGCACTGCAAGGTCTAAAGATACCGTAATAAGAAAACAGAAACATCAGAGACCATACAGGACATAAAGGAATGCTAAGCACAAGCCATGTTCTCCCCTAAACTCCAAGTCAAAAGAATCAGATGGTCAGGAACAAAGAAATTAACATAAAATGACTGGTTGATTAAGTAAGACTTTGGCTTCCACAGCTACAGATAAACAAGGCAAAAGCTATTGGAAGTAGATAGCATTCACCTGACCTCATACAACAGGCAAAAAGTGAGGTGGATGTGGGACACAGCAAGGAAAGGGAAATACTGGTGCAGCAGACTATGCTCTCTCAATGGCCTCCCTGGTGCAGCAGCCACAGAAGACCATGGTGGCTACAAAGGTGATTTTTGCCCCATGTTCCCCTTGCACTCTCAGGCCTCTCATCCCAGACACTCTCCAGGGCTTTGGCACCGCAGAAATTAACTTGTTGGACATGCGGAGCACTGCTCTGTCAGCAGTGGGAGCTGCCCACTGGAATTCACCTCCCCTCTCATACACCAGCTGATCACCCCTGGGAAATGTCTCCAGGGAATCAAGGTCCTCTCGCAGTGGCACAGCAGCAACAGAGATCCTGCCATGGAGAAGCCCCATGTCACCACCAGGATATTCGCCATTACACACCCAGGGCTCTCACTTAGGTCCCAAGAGCACCCCCGCAAAGCACACGTGTCAGCACCAAGGCAGCCGGTTCCATCTCACAGCTGGAGATTTCCAGCAACAAAGCGTTCATGGGCCGTATCACCCAATTTCAGATTGGAAAGTCTCTGGGGGGCTTCTGCCTGTTTTGTCAAGGGAACCCCCAAGGCTCCATTATGACCCATCGGTCTGCTCTTTGTGTGTGTCAGGTCTTTGATTGCCCGGGGCCATTATGAGTCCCAGGGCTGAGGTAGAGATGGAGGGTGGGGCTGGTCTGGCCGGGATGCACTCTGGCACCTGTGACATCACAGCACCTGTGTCACAATGGGGGCAGCCAGCAACAGAAGCAGCAGGTGACGCTGGCCCAGTACAGCCTTGGTGAGCGGCGAGTGTGCACGCAGACAGGAGGCTGTGCAGAAAGCCAAAGGAGGCCCACGGCAGAAACGCGAGTACCCGGGGAGCCGGGTCTCAGTGGGCATCCAGAAGCCAGGCCCTGGCGGGTGTGCCTTTGGCAGGGCACGGTGCTGCTGCTGCTGCTAAGCCAGTGGCACAGGCCTCGAAGCCTGCCAGCTGCCTGGCCCCCTCTGTCCTGCCTTCAAATCCCTGGGGCTCCTGTCCCCACTTCCCCTATCAGTACCTTCCTCCCCACTCAACCCCTGCTCAGCTCCTTAGGCCATGCTTGCCACATTTCTTCTCTTGCTTGCGCAAGGCCTCATCCAGTACCCGCAGCAGGCTGGGGACGGGCTGGATGAGGCCACACGGGAGCGCATGCAGCAGCGTGCTGAGTATCTGAACCAGCAGATGGCTCAGCTGATTCAGGAGATGGAGCAGAAGAACCTGGAGCAGAGTGGTGGGGCCTGGGGAGCCCTGCTCCTCTGGCAGTTCTGGGCCATGGCTGGAATCCTTGTCCTTCTCTTGGCGCTGTGGTTTGGACTCGGGAAAATTAGACGTGATCCAAACAGTGGCCACAAGGAAAGGTCCAGCAGAAACTTGGTGCAGAAAGAAGTTCTGGCAGAAGCAGAAGAAGAAGGAAAACGTTGCAAAGAAAGAAATAGCAATGATGCAGACGTGGAAGACAATACAGATGGAAATGACGAAAGCAGCAAGGTTAGTGCTAAGGCAGAAAGCAATGCTGAAAAAAGGGCAATGATGATCCAAAGGAAGAAGGAAACCATGGTGAGGAGGGTGAGGAAGCCAATGCTGCCAGAAATGAACAGGAAGTTGAAGAATAAGAAGGACTAAATATTGTTGCAAGAAATGTTGCAAGAAAGAAATAGAAAGCGACGATGCAGGTGTGGAAGAAGATAATAAGGACAGAAACGAAGAAGGCAGCCATATTGCAGCCAAGGGAGACAGCATTGCAGGAAATGAAGCCAAAGGAGGCAATGATGATGCAAAGGAAGAAGTAAACCATGGTGAGAAGGGCGAGGAAACCAATGCTGCCAGAAATGAAGAAGACAAGCATGACGCAAACGAAGAAGACACTGACCACAATATCAAAGGGAACCTTGGAGGCCTTTTAGAGGTGCACATCCAGTTGCCTGTTCTGGATCTGGACAAAGGTTGCTCGCTGATAATGGACCTGATGGACAAACTCACACACGCCTTTGGACAAGGCTTGTCCAACTGTTTCTACCCAGTGCCACAACAAGCCATCGAAGGCTGGAGTCCCCACACACAAGATGTTGTGTACCATGTGTTTGTACCCCTGAGTCCTCCTCCAGGACATGCCTTCCACCTGGAGCTGGACACTGCAGGGACGCTCCAGAGGAACTTCTGTGTCTGTACGGAGCTGCTGTGCACTTGCACGAGGGAGCAGCTGGGGGAGGGCATGCTATGTTTCCTCCACCACTCTGAGGAGGAGCTGATAAGGAAGCAGGATCCCAGCCTCCTGCAAACCCTCTGCACTGGCTCCTATCTGGATGTGGAGAAAACTATCCACTGGTTCTACAGATTTGTGCGAGCAGCCTGGTTGCTTTTGCCTCAGTCCTGCCACTGGCATTTAATGTTGCAGCCTTGCAGTCGCTCCTGTAAATTTCAGATCAGCAAAGACAAGGAAAGCTTCATGGTGGAGATGGTGTTTGGAGTGCGGCAAGGAGACAGATGTCTTTGTGGGCAGCAGCCTACAGAAGTAGGTATCCCAAGCACAACATGGCCCAAGACTTACACCGTGGCAGAGGCAAAATTCTTCATGCACATTTCCAGGCAGGCCCCCCAGGACAGCTGGCACTGCAAGTGCCTGCAGTTCCTTACCCGCTTCCTGATGGGTGTAGGATTTTCCCACTGTGCCTTGAAGATGGTGGTGATGCACCTCCTGAACACTGTTTCCCTGACACGGAGACTGATGGATATCCTGAAGTACCTCCACTGCTCACTGGAGACAAAACAACTTCACCACTTCATCATAGGCAGTGAGAGGTTTCCTATGGAGATCAGCTTGCCCTCCAGCTTCCGCGTGGCTGAACCACCCAACCTCTTTCAGCCCCCGGCGAGCAGTCCGAATGCCTACAAGAAGGCCGTGCAGGAGTACATTTGCCTGCTACATTGCCTCAAACAACTGCTGATCTACGGCCACTGAAATGGATCCTCCTGCACAGAGCTGTGCTTTTGGGGCCTCTTGACAGACCCTGTAGATATCAACCTCCAGTAGTTAGTTAGCATTTACGGTACATATTAACACCTGTAACTGGTGCATTTACAACACTTATTACAGCCCCGAAATTAGTGTATTTCCTATATATATATATTAGGACCCTCTAGTTAGTGAATTTACTATATATATTGGGACACGCTAGTTAGTGCTTTTCCTATAGATATTAATGCCCTCTAATAGTTAGTGCATTCAGCAATCTCCAACCTTCTTTGTTATTGCTGCAATAAACTGGACTATTCTGTATGTGGATTGTGCAAGCTCTTTTTGAACTCGACCAGACCTAGAATATTGGTAAATTCCACGAATTGTGAATTTGTGACTGGCTGCGAGTAAGCACTGCTATATTAGCAAGCCTTTTTTAACAAGTGCACACCGTTCTCTCTCCCCACTGCTTACTGCCTGTCATTGCACAGGTTCTCCACGTCTTACAGGCACACAAGTCCAAGTTTACATATCATATCTGCCTTGTCTGCCTCAAGCAGGGGAGTCGGATACCTTACACAGATCTTCGGAGAAGTGTGGTAACCCACTATGTAAAGTTTTTGATGCTCTGGCTACAAACAGTACAGCATGTGCAAGACCAGGACCTAGATTGATAAATCTAAAGCTCTTGTTCTTCCGTAGCACAAACTAGATCCTTACACCATATATTTCTTTTAATGATAGAAGCAAGGGAATATATTCTATATTCGTCTTAAGATGATAAGGTGCTAGAGATGAAGATCCTTCCCTGCAAAGCATCGGTCTCAGCCTCTGTAGAAAGGGGAGTAGAACTACAGATGGCATCAGCCAAGCTGATCCTCCTCTCACATTTGCAGAGAGCTGCTCACTAAAGCACACTCTAAAAGCAAGAAATCAATAATTAGAAAAGCCCCAAACCTCCTACATGTTGTTACAACTGTGTGGAATTGGTATCTGAAGCCTCTCAAACTCATGGCTTCCTGTAAATAGCAAGAGAAGGGAAATTTTTAAAGCAGTCTTTAAATCACAGAATACACTGTTTAATAATTTCCAGGGTTTTCAAAGACAATGGATACCCATACAACTTTGCTGGTCACAACACCAATTGTGGTCATTCAGTTACTTAAATGTTTCAAGGAAAGAAACTGGAGCTTTGTTAATGATTGCTGGGCTTGAACTCCACAAACCTCATGAAGATAGGTTACTTACTATATAGATTAAAGTACCCCCTTCTCTCTTATTTTTTCATTGGTTGTCCTCCCTGTTCTTTCAGCACTTCACTGTTATAGTACTCAGGAAGCTTGCACAGGACTCCCAGGAAATTCCTCTCTATTATTTGGCACCCTGCAAACCATACACACTGTAACTGATCTTCTCAGTAAAATACACAGACTTCACCTCCGCCATCTATTAGCACAGGGAAATCTTGCCATTCTCCAAATTGGTTTTATTACCTGTTTTGAAGGCATTCTATGTTTCATGGATATATTTTGATGGGTAGCTAGAACTGAGGACTGCATCCTGGGAGAAGGCAAGGTACTTTTGCAGTGGCAGCTGTATTCTTCACCCTCGCAGGGGCAGTGAATGTGCTTTCTGCTAGTTGATAAAAAAAAAAAAAAATCTTTCAGAATGTGAATTTTTTTTTTCTGATTCCCAAACCCTGGCTTCCCAGCCCCAGAGGGTTTTTTCTCTACCAGATATTGGGAGAAGCCTGGGAGCAGCTAAGATGGGGCCACAAGAAAAAGGGATTTCAGAGCCAGGAGAAGCAGTACCACATCCCCTCCTTGCTGTGCTGCAGCTCTTCCAGAGATGCCACAGCCCTTGGGACATTGGCCAAAATTGCACTTACCTCGCAGAAACTGGCAAACCCCACACATGGCATGACCTAATGGAGAACATCAGCAGCTCTGCCTGCCAAAAAGCAACGTGCAAGTTTTTGGCTGTTGGTATGAGCCCTCCACTACTGTAACTGAATCTCTGTGGCCTGAATACTGCAAACCAGCATGAGATTCTCGTGTCTAAAGAGAAGGGGCTTAAATGATTGCTAATGGCAGAAACACATTGTCATCCTCCCCATTAACCGTTTGGAGGATGAATAAATGCAAGTACTCCCAGAAAAGCTGCAATTAACTATTTCTGAAAGTATTTCCCTTCTTTATATCAACAGGAAAGTTAAGTTTTCTCTCCTTCATATGATAAGTTGACCATTCTAATTTGTAATGTCACAGATTATTATATAAATATTAAAATAAAATTTCCATGTTTCATACTGTGCTAGATTTGTGAAGAAATAAATTTTTGAAAGAACTTTTCATGCTTTTCTTTTATAATGGGTGGGAATATTTCTTTAGTACTTCAAGTAGCTGGGGAGAAGAAAACCCTATCCCTCTTTTCCCCTCAGGGCCCCTGAATCCCATCCAAAAGGGTAAATATAAAACCATCAGAAATAAAGATCCATTTTCTAACATGCTTTATTACTTGTAGGAACAGACCAGTTATCTTTTCCTTGAATTTATTTGTGGATTAATTAAACGAAGCATGTATTAGACATTATGTCTCTGTCTTTCTTACCACTCTTCTAGAGAAGCTAAAAACTGGAACACACGTGTATTCCTTTCTGATCCTTCTTGGACAATATATCAAAAAATCAGTTCTCAGGGACAGCAGTAGAACCTGAAAGATCAGAGAATAATTTCCTAATGTTCCATTTCTTACGGGAGCTTGCAAAACCTGTCTCACCATGCAGCCACCCAGAAGGCAGGCTGAGAACCTGCCATCAGCCTTACTCTTGCTCTGATTCAACGCTGCTTTGACATTTTGCAAAACGTTGAGCTGAAAGAAACTAAAATTGCTTTTCTGCTTGCTGAAGATGTATCAACAGTGCATTGTCATAGTAAACTATGGATGAGGAATGGCTGTATTCTTTTCTCACAGACAGCATTCATCCAGAATATATCTCCATCTTGAAGTGCAAGAATGCGCTTTAAAACAGAACAAGAGGAAAAAACATAGGCAACCAGGAATATTATAAGATGACCTAATTAAAAAAGGAGCATCTTAACTGAGCTCTGGTCCAAGGAGAGAACAGACTCATTGGCCCAAATGAAATGCAGCAGCAACAGCAACAGGTGAGATTCCACTGTGGCATTCAGATGAGGGAGCATGGGCTGGGAAATTCAAGTTGATGACTGTCCTGATATATACCACCTTGCCCAAATGAAAGGCTCATTAACCCCAACAAGAAATAACCGAAATTTTTTAATTTACTCAAAATGCACCAGAGGAGTGCCTGGAGGACTGTGTTTCTTTGATTTTCATTCAGAAAAGGACAACACAAGTACAGACAATTGTTACGGCTGATAACTACTAATTTTGATTTGTGCAAAGATGTAAACCTCCATGCTCCAGGGAAAAGCCTTTGCCCTCAGCTGTTGCAACTGGTCAGAGCTCCAGGGTCTCATCATGCTCACAGCACCTTGGCCCTGCAAAACTGGGCCCTTCCCAGGCACAGCAGGTACACCTAGTGCCACACCTCTCCAAGCCCAGTCTCTGCAATGCACATACATGCAGGCATACTCTTGTCCCATTTGAGGCCTGCAACAATCATGATGCAAGTACTACTTAGTTGTCACAAAAACTGTTCTAACAGGTACAATATTGAACAACAACAATATTGAAGATAACATCTCTCCAAAACTGGAACTGTAGAGTAAAAGGTAGGTAAGTGTCGCTGACCAAAGTCTCCTTAGCTTGGTGATAGTTTTGTATGGGGGATGTGCTGAGCAGCTGTTTAAATGTCCAACTTATGCAAGGTGAGCATGGTGCCAAACAGCACTGTGTGGAACACTGGGGACACCAGTGGTTTTGGCCATCTCTGGTAAAAGCACAACTAATTTAAACAGTCCTGTATTTTCTTCTAACTTGGTTTTAATAGCTAAAGCCCTTCAGAACATAATTAATGTTTATATATCCACTCTTGAGAGCAAATTAATCAGTTGCTCAGAAAGACCATTAGGATTTTTGCCTCTATGCATTGTAACCAATTATGAATCCAGGATTCACAGCTATTAGCTTCACCTAGAAATTCAGAAGTTTCCAATATTTTAATTGCAATTTAATAAAGAAAAAACAAAAGATCCACAAATTAATTCAGATGGAATAGAAATTAATTTTGATGAAGTATTAAAAATAGCACAGTTAGAAGTAGGAATGTCTAAGTCTCTCTCTTCTTTAAGTAGTTTTCACCTCATTCAGACTGACTTGGTATACCCATTTTATTCCATAGAAAAATCCCCATGATTCCAAAGTACAGATAGATTGTGCTTTTAACTGTACACTGCACAATTTATATGTCATAAACAGCATAAAGCATAGCAGTTCTTTCTCTGTGTTTGGAGGTTCTGTGGTCTCCAGGAATACAAGTGACTAATAGTAACAACTGAAGCACTGAATCACAGAAAAATAGGAAGAAATTCATTAAGTGTTGGAGTATCTGTCACAAATAAGGGATGGAAATGTGCAAGGAAGAGTGTGCATAGAGCTGCCTTTCATATTTTTCTTAAACAGAAGTCACAATGCATAATGTGTGATGTCTTAAAAAGCTCCACTTCTAATATTTCTTTCTCTGTCAAGATTTCCTGGTAACATATCACAGTACCAACACAGCAGGCCAAATGCTCTGTTTCCATATTCTACCTTTGCAATTAGTTGATCTATGCTTGCTTCCAGTTTAGAATCAAACTTCATGTTTTTATTACACTCAAATAAAATTAATATCCTCTAAGCTGTGTTTTTAAGAGATATAACTGACTGATCAGAGCTTATTGAAGAGGGTTGTGTTTGCTTTCCAAGGTATCACCTTTAATGAACAGAGACTCAACAAGCTGCAGGACATGGATGTAAGGGATTGGTACTGACACAGACTCCTTACATGCTCCTCTCTAGGTTTCTTTCCATGTTTCCCC